GTAAAAAACGTTAACCTAAAATGTTGCTGTTTTTTACGGTAAATTTCTCTATTTTTTTTACCGTTAATTTAACAGACTTTATTTACAGTGCAAGACAAACCCTTACACTGCACGAGACTCATGATGAATGTATTCTGGACAGAAAAAGCTGTGATCAAAAGCTCTGTAACTCGACTCGAGTGTGTGTTGTCTCTTATCTGAGCTGATGGAATTAGATGTGATTGTATAGTCTCTCAAAGAACATAACAGCGCTTCAGCAGGAACTGTGTGTGTGTGTGTGTGTGTGTGTGTGTGTGTGTGGACGTGGCAAACTTTTTTATAAGGTCTTTTATAAGGTATAAGGACGATTACACGGTTAAACAAGTGCCTTGGACTCTTTAACAAGCTCGACTCCAGCCGTAATGCAAAGCCCGTAAACATTAAAGTGTCCGAGGTCAGAGCCAAAATAGTCAATTCAAATTCCAGAGACAAAAGGGGCCGACTGTAATCTGAAACCAAAGAACGCAACGACCCTCAAACCAGAAGGCTTCACATCGCAGTGTTTCCATACAGAAACATGCAAAGTATTTAACAGGTGAAAGACTGAGCATCACTGCTGTAAAACTGATTAAATACCACATATAAATAGGTTTTGCACAAAAAAAATAAGTTTTGATAAAAATGAATTGGCAAAAGCATTTTTAGGAAGCAATAATTCTTGTCAAGTAGTAAACAAAGTGTCTTATTTGACTTATTTGACGTCTGCTATTGTGTGTTCCCTGGATTTTGTCGATTTTGCAGTTGAAGGTCCAGTATGACTGGTTGGTCGAGTGGGAATGTTTTCTTTGCTTGAATATGAGAGGTTTCTAGTTGCACCATTATAAGCCTAATCATTTTAATTAACCAAAATTGCAGCACTATGTCAGTGGATGTATATCTGGAATTTGCATTTTGTCTTGTGAACAGGCAGAACGGATATTAATAACGCCTTATAGGGCTATCTGAATGCTGTGTGAGAAAACATGTCTGCAATGACCAAAGGGGAATCCAGCAACACTTGTGCGAAGGGGAACTTTAATAAAACCAATGCGTTGAAGCTTAAACAGTCTCGACCAGTCGAACCACGAACGCCGTGCTAAGTGAGCTGAACTGTGACTTGGAATCTCGTATGAAAGTATGGGACCCCTTCATCCCTTATAGTTAGTCATCCATATATTTTAATAAACAGATATAATTCATGCATTTCCATGATATGTAACGTAATTCCGATCGACCTGCTCACTTAGCGTTCGTGTTCGACTGGTCGAGACTATTTTCCAAAAAATGGCTCCTTATATGCGATGTGCGAAGTATCTTCTTATTAAACTCTCTACACTTACACTGTTCTCAATGCTTCGATTTGCATGTAGGGACCCTCATTATGCTATTTTGAGCCTTGTTAGTGGTATTAACTAGCGATTTGATAGCGTTAAACGCTAAACAGTTTTTAGAGATAAAACTCTTTACGATTATCATGAAAACAAATCTCGGTGCCAATGTGTTATTAGACCGAAGGTTCATTTTGCGCCAGAGTTACCGTATAATGATAACAATAAACTTTATTTTATATAGTGCCTTTAAAAGTAGCATCTCAAAGCACTAGTTAGCAAGTTAGTTGTCCTTGAAGAGCCTTTATATAACTTCTTGTTTCTTCAAAGCAGCTTTATAATAGGAAATGAATGGGACAGAGATTGTTTTGGCTGTTCAGCAGCTCTAGAAGAAAGTCAATGTCAAGTTATTAATCATTAGTTTACAACAGAAAACAGAAAAATTGTAATTTTCATTTACACGATAACAGCGTTTTAGTGGATATAGGAAACATGTTTGAAAACGATACCATTGTCATCCCCATGTAAACTTCAGAAACGTGAATCTGTGAAAACGGTGACTGCATGCACTCTAAAAAATGCTGGGTTGTTTCAACCCAAATTTGGGTCAAATATGGACAAACCCAAATGTTGGGTTAAAAATGTAGCTAATTGTTGAAAAAGTGAAAGTTGAAGTTGGGTTAGCTACATTTTTTTAGAATTTATTAAAGTTCGCCCTCTCCACAAGTGTTGCTAGCCTGGCTAACGCCAGACCACGTATCATTGAGAATGAAACATAGTCTGGAAACCAAGTTTCTCGTATTTGAGGCGTGGTTTACGAATGCCCAGAGCCGTATTATTGGGGGCTACGAATGTCTATCAAATGCACCTGTGCTCCCTTCCCGTTCTGTGATTGGTTCCCTTTTTCAGGGGAAAATTTGGTTCATGGTTCATTCTTGTGCTGTGGCAAGGCAGAATGGGGAAACCCAGGCCTGAAGTGTTGCTGGATTCCACTTTGGTAGTTTTTAAAACGTGCTTTACAAGTCGCTACAGATCTAACCTTAAGGAGTAAAAAAAAACTTTTTTTAAAAAAAACTTGTCATCCAAGATGTCCATGTCTTTCTTTCCTCAGTCGAAAAGAAATTAAGGTTTTTGATGAAAACATTCCAGGATTTTTCTCCATATAATGGACTTCAATGGGGACCAAACGGTTCAAGGTCCAAAAGACAGTTAATAACAGTTTCAGATGCAGCTTCAAAGGGCTTTAAACGACACCAGACGATGAATAAGGGTCTTATCATGTGAAACGATCGTTTATTTCAAAACTTATTCCAAAAATGTAACTTTTCTAAGGACAAATGCTAGCCTTGCTCTATTCTGTGAGGCGCGTTTGTAACGTCACGTAATACGTAATTACGTTCAAAAGGTCACGGGAGTCAGTGTTTACAAGTTGAACGCATAGGTTGAACGTGCAAACTAACTCAAACGCCGTTTACAAAAAAAAAAGGAATTAAAAGGTAAAACAACGATGTCGGACGATTTTGATTCTGTACTTCCGGCTACGTCGCCCGTGACCTTTTGAACGTAATTACGTATAACTTGACGTTACAAACGCGCCTCACAGAATAGAGCAAGGCTAGCATTTGTCCTTAGAAAAGTTACATTTTTGGAATAAGTTTTGAAATAACCGATCGTTTCACATGATAAGACCCTCATTCATCGTCTGGTGTCGTTTAAAGACATTTGAAGCTGCATCTGAAACTGTTATTAACTGTCTTTTCAACCTTGAATCGTTTGGTTCCCATTGAAGTCCATTATATGGAGAAAAATCCTGGAATGTTTTCATCAAAAACCTTAATTTCTTTTCGACTGAGGAATGAAAGACATGGACATCTTGGATGACATGGGGGTGAGTAAATTATCAGCAAAAGTTTTTTCAAAAGTGAACTAATCCTTGACTTGTCTGCAATAACCACTCACTGTAAGACACGTCTTCTGTGTGAGATTCATCCCTGCCCTGGGCTTTTTCATAGAGATCGTCCATGGTAAATAAAGTCCTGTGCCTCTGGATGTCCATATGACTCCTGTGCAGAAAACAGAGTTGTTAATCTCCTTATGGCTGAAGTCTTTAAGTAGTGGAATGTGGTGGGTGGCTGTACTAACATGGTCTGGTGTGTGTGTGTGTGTGTGTGTGTTTTAATAGCTTGTCTAATCTCATCCCAGCAGGGTTGTCAATCCTTGCCATGTGGCTTCGCCTCTAACAGGATTCAAAAGAACAGACACTGAACACTTTATCGAGTGATGACCAGTCATTACATTTACATTTATTCATTTAGCGGACACTTTTATCCAAAGCGACTTACAAATGAGAACAGTAGAAACAGGACAACAATATGCAAGTGCTATGACGACTCCTCTCAGTTTCATTTATTTTTTTTTCTTTAATGGAAAAGAAAGTGTTTTTGGATCAAGTGCTGCCGAAAAAGATTGTAAAGATTACAAAATAAAAGAACCTGTTGGTGTGCTGTCGTTTATCAACTGTATATGAATGTTGTTTTATTGAGTGATTATGAGCAGTACTGGCTGAGAACCAGATGCTGGCCAGATATGACCTATATACTAAGACATGTCATTAAAGTGATTTCCCTTTTTTCTGGCCGATATGAACACACAGGCTTTGATGTGGTTTGGCGAGGGTTTAAAAAAAAAGACATGAAAGAATAAAAGACTGTCAGGAAGACATAAATCATATGAAAGGTGATATCGATCAAAATCTGGCTTTGTTGGGGTTTTTTGTATGATGCTGTATTTGTTTTGTATGAACTAAGTGCATGTGATACAGTGTTCGAGTCTGTGGAGTGAAGAGATGTCACCACCAGCGGATCAATCCACTCTGTGGCCTGAGAGAGCTTTTGTTCTCAATTTAAGTAATCTCACAAACACACATTTTACTCCATAAAATTAATGTTTTATATGTTAATGCTTCCAGCGAGTTTGCAATGGTTTTATGCCACTCATAAGCATCAATGTGGTTTTGTTTTGCTGTATTGTGCTTTTGCATTGTTTATTTCATATGCATTGTTTATACAATATTATTGCACTTTCTGTATTGCATGTTATAATGCACTAGACTGTGTTGTGTTTAATGTTGGGATCAAACTGATTTGACCACTAAACTTCAACTTTACAAGAAAGTTGTGCGAAAAGGCATGATCTTTTATAAAATATTATTGCATTTTCTGTATTGTTAAGTCAAGTTTTATTTCTAGAGCACAACTGTAGCTGATCCTAAGTGCTTCACAATACGATAGAATTATTAGAAAATAGAATAAAGAGGAAAGGATAAAAATTAAGTATCAAAATCATTCAATGTATATACAAACATAATGTAGCCTACTAATTTTAAATACATACACAACATCACTCGGACGACAGAGGATAAAAATAGGTTTTTAAACTGGATTTAAAAGCATCATTGATGGAGAGGTCCTGATGTTTAAAGGTAAACGTAAAGGTATTGCGTTGTATAATGCACTGGATCAAACTAATTTGACCACTAAACTTCAACTTCACAAGAAAGTGTAGAGTGTCGTGTCTTTTCACGCCGCGCGGTGGCGCTATAGAGTCAGCGGGCGCGCACTCCGCGCGTGATTGATCGTTTCCAGTGCAGTCCGTGCCCGCGCTGCTCAGATCGAAGCTGCTCGCGTTGTGAGCGCATTCCTGTCGCGCCACGGAACGGGATATTTCAGCGAGTTTGGGATTTTAACTATGAGTAGGACATGCCATCCAAGGATCACTCGAACGTGTAAGTACCACAAAGGCATTATCAAACTTTCAACGTTAAAATGGTCAGAAATGCGAGTAGTTTTGGAAAGCTGTGTTAGACTAGACTCGTGTAGTGTGTGTAATGTAACTAAGCATTGCTGTGGTGTTTAAGTGTGGAAACCAGCATTTGGCGTTTACACTATCCAAAGACCGCATATAAAACTTTAAGAACCAAGCTTTCGTTGTTCTCACGCAGTATTGATCACATTTAGAGGTTTGTTAACTTAAACATTTGGATGTCGTTTGCTGGCTGTTTTTACAAGCGCGTATCCTGGAATGTAAGGCTTGGGAATTTATTACCGATTACATTTCCTCGAAGTGTTACAGTATCAAATGTATCGGTTTTGTTTCGGCTACTTGATCCGGTTTGAATACTTTCCAAACACGTTGTGGAGTTGAACAAACTCGGTCGTGGTGGTTCACTGCTTTGTGTCAAAGCGTTTAGATCCCAAAGAACAACAGCAGTAAGCGGCATGGGGACGGGTTGTGCCGATAGGGTTAGGTCAAAGTTACTGAGACCGATAAGAAACTGACATTACAAAAGGCGTTTTTGAGAAATCCGCACACAATTAAAAACGATCTCGGAGCCCTATGTTGTGAAAAGGGCTATTATTAAACTTAAACTACCACTCCTGTTTCTCCATCGCATCCTAATCTCACAGGACCACATGTTGCTTTTGGTAAAAATCGATAGGCTAATTGGTTTATAAATGATTAGTCTCGGTGTGTTGTGTTAAAAGGGCGTTAACAGCAGAACTGGTTATGGAAGCTGTTGCTGCGGTGCATCTGAAGGTTTCTGCTGTCCGTGGGTGTGTGTGAACGCGTCTACACATACTGTCCATTTCTTAGTCTTCTTCATTCATTCAGTTTGCATGTATGTATGTGACCCAGTGCAGCATTTAAAAACATGTATAAACCATTCTAAGTAGTTGACAGACGCCATCTGCCCCTACATGACCATTGAGCTCGCGCAGACCTTTTAATGATCGTGGACTGGTGGGATTTGGGTTACTGATGGATCTTCTGGGGTAGACCTATAGAAAGCGATTGGTCTCGACATATCAGACGACTATTCATGGTCCTTGTCTTTCCCATTGTTATCACGACGTGACGGTTTAGGAGCGTGACGGACATTCAGATGGAAATTGGGAATGTTTCATCAGGCGTGAGGGAATCGTTTGTTTAGAACTCCCAAACAACCCTAACGGGAATAATCTCACGGTTTGCCTATAAAAAAATGACCTCGGGCATCGTGGGTCAGCGAGTTAAAGCCATCTTCCTCCTTTAGGATGTGTATTATGAATAAAATTCACATTGAATGATATTGTAGTTGTAGTCATCTACGATTGTAGTCCCAGATCCCCTGTAAAATTATTTCAACCGTCAAAGGAGTTTTTTGAAACGTGTTATCAAGCAATTCCCATAAAAATAGCTAGAGTTTGAGTTTTCTTAGACCGCACACTGTCTAGAATATTTACCTGATGTAGTGTCGAGCCAACATTACCTCAGAAAAGACCTAACACTGCAACATATCTGTTTTTACCGTTAAAATCCGTTACATAGATTCGCGCCTTTGACTGTGATGACGCGTTTTAGCGGTCATCAGCGTCGTAATCTATATATATATATATAGCTATAATGAATGTATATTTATAATTCGTTTGTAAAAATATTGTAATGCTAGCTGTGAAGGTGTTTAATAAGATACAGTTGACATTTTCTCTCATCTGACTGCCGTTATCAATCTCTCTATTTTGTCCTCTTTTGAAAGTTGTGAAACCACTATTGTGGAGTTTTTCTTTTGCTATTTGAGCAAACTGGAACACGAAAAATATATTTAATGTAGTCTCTCATTTACCACTGTCGAAGTTTACCCAACTATAAGACTTCTGACAAACCCTGAAGAAATGTAAAAAAGTGTGTGTGTGTGGAGTTTGGAATGCTAACTGCCCCGCGAGCGGCTGTAGAACCGTAGATGTGCGCATGCGCACAGGCTTCCCCTCCCCACCAGCATGACTGGTTTTGCTCAGACCCACAGCAAAAATAATGACCAAGATTAGCTGCTTTACCAAAATAATTTATCTCAGCAAGACAAAAATGATTGGAAACAAATCGCATGAGCGGGGACATAATTATGGAGCGAAAGATACAAGCACTGCAGTAAATTGGGCACAAAGGGAGAGAGTCAGGCTATTGTTTTTGTTATAGATTATTATGAGTTGGAAATGGGAAAATAAGTTTGGCCACATGGAAGATTAATAAATGTGTGGGTGAGAGAGATCAAATCTTGGCAAGATTGCTGCTTTACAGTTTACACCACCAGGCACTGTTATTGTATCAAATGGTAATGGATTAAATATGGTACTGTACAATTATCCATGGTGTTTACATGGATAATGTGCCCAGATGCCCAAAAACCAATGGCAGTACCATGCATTATTTGCTGGTATTCAACTACAAGAAACTCCCCGTTGTATACTTTGTGCTTCTCTTGCGTTGTCAACATCCCAGGCTCCAGCATGAGAGCTCATAATTGTGGCATTCTGTGGCCCATAGCTCACCCTCTGTTTGACTTCTATTTATAATCTCTCTCTCTCTCTCTCTGCTAGTCTCTCATGGTGCTGGGTAAACGTTTGTGTGTCGTCTATCACGCAATGGTTTCAAGTCCCAACATTTGACTGATTTAAGTCTCTATGGCCGCATTTACACTCCAGGTCTTGATGCCAAATTCCAATCTATTGACTATATAAACATTTTTTGATGACCAGCTTACATCTTTTAAAAGTGACCCATATTTGATATCTGCATTCACACTGTACAATTGGCAATGCAACCCAATGTAGACATACTGACAAAACCCTTATGAAAATTAACCATGGATTTACTACTAATAAAACCACAAAACATGGTTATTATAAATGGTAAACCTCAAATTAACCATGGTTTTGCTACACTAACCATAGTTTTTGTAGTAAAACTGGTTATGGTAATCAGTCCACCAACAAAACATAATTGTCATAGGGGCAAAAGGCCAAAAAGAAAGAAAATATGGTGTGATTTAAATTGAACGCAGATGAAATGATAATAAAAGCTTTTGCTTTCTGCACCATCTTAAAAGGTCAGGAAAACATTGGCTTGCTGTCTTGTGACCCTTGCTGTCATGTGATCGCGTTTGGTGTCGACGTCTCACCCTCACCATGTCGTTTTTTCAATGACTGATTCGCATTGACCGGAGAATATCCCAAATGTCCGCTTACATGGCAGACCCTTATGCACTGTATATCCGATTCATATCAGTAGTGATGCACGATATATCGGCCATCAAATCGGTATCGGCCGATATTTGTTCATTTTTATGTTATCGTTATCGGCCCGATAATAAAATTTGGCTGATTTATTAAAGCTGATAAATAATGAATTATTTCCTTTGACATTTGAGACACTTAAGATGCGCACTGTTCAACATGATTGATCTTAATTGCTTGAAATATGATTGTAATCAAAAAGGAAAATATACGTAGTGTAAAATGTGCTGTCATATCGGCTACAGGAAATTATAATGAGAACATTATAATTGTGTGATTGGGAAATGGATTTTAATTGTGAGACTTTTGTTTTTGCAATCAGGCTCTCAAAATTTATAAAAAATTGGATTTAGATTTATTGGCAGATATATCTGTTATCGGCTTTTAAATATGAAGAATTATCGGTTATCGGTATCGGCCAAAATGTAAAGAATTTTTTTAATTTTTGATAAATTTTTTTTTTAAATATAAAGAATTATCGGTTATCGGTATCGGCCAAAATGTAAAGAATTTTTGAATTTTTTCTTTTAAATATAAAGAGTTATCGGTATCGGCCAAAATGTAAAGAATTTTTAAAATTTTTGATTTTTTTTAAATATAAAGAGTTATCGGTATCGGCCAAAATGTAAAGAATTTTTTAAATTTTTGAATTTTTTATTTTAAATATAAAGAGTTATCGGTATCGACCAAAATGTTCATATCGGTGCATCCCAACATATCAGAATGTAATTTAATTCAATGTAATTCATGTAAATGTAATTCATGTGAATGAGGCCTGTAACTGATCTGAGAATATCTGGATCCATGTGCTTATTTTCCTGCTTATATATTCATTATGGGTCATTTCCAATCTATGCCACATGGGAGGAGGAAATCTGAATTGGGTCACCTGAACCATGTAATGTAAATGTGGTCTATATCTCCTTAAGATTTATTGGTCTCTTATGCTCTATAATAAGGTATATGCTAGTGTAAAGTATGATGTGACTCCAGAGACGTATAAAGGCTCTCAACAAGCAAATCAAAGTAAACTTTAGCTGTTAAGTTTGTTGTTAGATAGTTTTTAGCTGCATTTCTTTAATTAGCATGTTCCGATTGAGCTGTTTACATGGTAAAATCCTGGAAAACGGGGAAATGGAGGGCTTCCTTAAGTTAAAATGTAAAAAAAATGTACATGCATACATGTTTTCCTCTCTCTGTGTCGCTCTTTCACGTCCTCAGGCCAGTGGTGATATTAAAAAGCATTTAAGAGGTCTAGCTGTTACTGTGTTTGTTAAAGAGCAAACAGTGAGAGGTCTTCCTCACACACTGACACTGCTAACTCTGTCCAACCTTCAGGCAGTCGTCACACAGTGTGACCTCCTGTGAAATTACACGTTCACTTGCGTCCTTACTAGTGATAGACTGATAAATCGGATGATATTTGCTCATTTTGATATCATCGACATTGGCTGAAAGCTTTACCCACTAGACTTGTTGATGGATAATGGCCAATTTCTGTTTTCAAATTGCATGTTTACATGTTAATTGTTGACATTGGCTGATATCAGGACACTGATATATCATGCTTTAAATTACAATGCAGATAAATGTTCCACACACTCCAGTCAAGACTCACGGTAGACACAACTAACATTCATTGTGACCTTTGCAGTCGAGCATTCAGGCTTTGTAA